GTAAGGCTAGGCTAGGCTATTTCAAGTTAGTTAGGTTATTTCCATGTTTTGTGCCAGTTACTCACTGGCAATGGGGGGGGCCAATTGTCCTAGACCCAAGCTATGCAGCATATAACTCTATATAGCAACATTTTACGACCACGACGTGCACCAAGAAAAATGTGCAAGTCTGGGGCTGGTTCCCCCACACACCTGGCAAGCCCAAATATTCTGGCAAGACAAGTTTCAAACAGGTCTGTTCAATTTTTGAAGGGTCACCTCAAAAGACTTGTCAGAAGCATACAAATCCTCATATCTATATATATTATCATATAATAATTTTTTTGCAGATATGACTGTAGCTTACAGTATTTAAGGCCTACTTCAGAAAATGTTTTGTTTGTTTGTTTTCGATCTACTGATGTAAGTGCACAACAGCATCGTAAAGTATAACCATGTTTCTGTACTCAATTTTTAATGGCAAATTTACAGGTTTTAAAACTGTCTACAGGCCCTTTAAATATTGCTGTATTGTAAAATTCTACAAAACCGTCATATATTTCTTTTGTGATGCATATATGTACAGTAAATGATATTAGTCTGTTCTGCATCCCCTTTGCTCATAGGCATTGGTGATGAAAGCATTATAAAAGCCAATGCTGTTGCTATTGCTATACAGCATTAATTTCTTCTCTTTCTTTCAGAAATATAAAAACAGAGATATAAAAGACCGAAAACTTGAGGGCCGAGTTAGCAGTGGCTGATGATTTTTACGAGACTTTCCGCAATCACCCAGTAGATGAAGAAATAATTCCTTGTGGAATGTGCAGGTAGGTGAGAATATTTATGGATTTATACAGTTGTATGCACTCCCATTGATACCATTGCTCAATCTCCTTTGGATGTCTAAAAATCAAACGGCAGCAGTGACCTACCTTATACTGACTGTTTGCAGTTTTCCCTGTTCCAACCCTAGGGCCATCAACTATGCCTCACCAGTCATTGTTCCTGCCTCACCAGTGAATGCTCCTGCCTCACCAGTCATTGTTTCTGCCAGAGCCGGCGCCAGCCTATTTGGCGCCCTTAGCAGGACTGCAGCTGGCGTCCCCACCCGCCTCCCACTTAACGATTGGGTTTGCCCACAAAGTAATCCAGGTACCATATTGAAGAAACTGTTTACCTTACACTGATCTATTTTAATTTGCTAATACATACATTAATTAGCAAATACTCTTAAGCACAATGCAATAATGGCATGAAAAGTGACTGTAAAGAAACACTCAAAATCAAACTACTATTGTATTTAAACATTAAGCAATTCAATTAACATGTCATGACATTCTGGATTCCGCCGTTTTCTCGTTTTCGCTACGTGCCTGCTTATAACCGTTAACTTGATTCCTGGAAGCGAATTCGTCGATTACATCGTCATACGATAACTAGAGAGTCTAGACACTGCAATGTTCACACTGATGATGGCCAACTCACTAAGATGTTCCTGCGCCATTGTGGATCGCAATAAGTTTTTATCAGTTTTAACTTAGAAAAGCTCCGCTCTGCTGCCGACACCGTTACAGGGAGAGTTGCACAGATCCGCAGGGAGAGTTGCACAGATCCGCAGAGCTACCCACAAGTTCGGGAATACTTCAGTAAGTTTCTTTTCATGCAGGAAGGTGAGAAAATCCATTGTCATATTCTTGGAAGGCAAATCTGGGAGACACTGCAGCTCCATGGCCAGTTCCCTTCCATCAATGTCTGAGTTTCCCCCATGAGTAAGCGTGTTGCTGAGGGTTTGGCAGTGATCGACAATATCTTTGTCAGACATGTCGGTGAACCCCAACAATACCTTGAACTTTTCATTCACCTCGCCCAAGGTCTTGAACCTCTCATTAAGAGAGGAAATCACAGTATCCACTACCACATTGAAAAATGTAGTCTCCATCCTCTTGAGTACATCGCTGACAGGTTCGTCTGCACACTCATAGCTAAAGTGACATTTTTTAGTTCTTGGTCTCTTCTGTTTCAGCACCGTGTCTACGCTCATCGCTTCAGATTTCTTTAGCAATAGTTAGTGCATCAGCAAAACCTGTATTTCTGTAGCTGACAATATCATCTCTGGTCTTTTTGAGCAGATCTACAGCCACGCCGAGCTGTATCGTACTCGACTGCATTAGTTTGCTCACGTGCTGAATTTTGCTGAGTATATCATACCACACAACTGAACAAATGACAAAACGGTATGACCCTACTTCCTCTGCCAACGATTAAGCCTCAACTTTGACGACAGGGTCAGTTGCAGATTCTCTGTGCTCCAAAAGCGCTTCTTTGATTTGCGCAGGTTGATATCTAATTGCCTCCACATTTTTTACTCGGCTTTCCCATCTGACGTCTGACCACGGTTTCAGATTGATATTAACATGTTTAAAAGAACTTGCCACCTCTGAGGAGACTGAAAACAATGTGAATTCTTTCGTTAAATATCCAAAGTAACAAGTTGCATTTAGGGAGCTCTTGGCAGCGTCGCCTAATATCAAATTCAAATTATGGGCACCACAAGGGTCAAATAAGGCCCGAGAATTCTGTTGAAGCCTGGCTTGAACTCCTTTGATGTTTCCTCTCATATTTGCTTCATTGTCGTAGGATTGACCTCGATAATCCTCAAAAGAAATGTTCATTTGTTTGTCTTCCGAGTAGAAGTCATGACAAATTTAGCCCTGTAGACTTCTCTACCTCAAGGAACCCCAAGAAATGCTCCTTTATTGTTGGCTTGTCTTCAAGAAAGTTGCTCTTTGCGACTCAAATCAGGGGTGCAGTCTAAAATTGAGAAGTATTTCGATGCTTTGATATCGTCCATGATTCTCTCAGTAATCTTTGCACTGATAATGTTAATCAGTTCATTTTGGATCATTTGGCCAAGGTAGTGAGTGTGACTGTGATTGCCTGCATTACTTTCAACCCTACTTAAATGATTCTCCATAACGATCAAATTTAACCAAAAGTTCCACTTCTTGGAGAAAAATACCATTGGATTGACAGTTAAGTTTTTCGGTTGACCCTCTAGAGCCAAATTGCTTTCAGCTAGAGACTGAATAATCGCCATTAGTCTAGTGAGGACTTGGCGCCACCTGTTCCACTCAGCCATTAACATTTCCATTTCCCGTCTGTCTATCGTCCTTCCTCTTGCAATGTTGACCTCCAGTTCCTTCTATGTTGTCATGTTTTTAGTGTGTTCTATGCTACTTTCATGTGTGCTGAGCAAATGACTAGCATTTTTTCAATCATTGATGCCTTCTTCAGCCATTCTAACATGTTTTGTAGAAAACATTTTACAACAGAAGCAAAAAAGTTTATCCTGTTTCACCAAATACATTAGCCAACTTCTTTGGATCTTCTCTCCATTTACTAAGATTCGGCGAAAGTAATCATGTTGACATCTTCTCCCATCCTTTTTTGGAAACACATATTTAAGATCAACTTGTAAGGTCCTCTGCAAACAAGTTCTGCTTTTTTCCTGGTTGGACATTGAGAATGGCCAGTCGGTAGGGTCAACAAGTGCAACCTTAATCTACGACTCTCAATATGGGTTTACAAAGGGAAAATCTTGTCTAACAAATCTGCTAACGTTTTTTAGGAAAGTCTTCGAGGTAGTAGATAATGACGAAAATTACGATGTTATTTACTTAGACTTTAGCAAAGCATTTGACAGAGCACCGCATCAGAGTCTTCTGAGAAAAATTAAGGCTCATGGTATCGAGGGGAAAGTTTTAAATTGGATAAAATCATGGCTCACCGATAGAACTCAGAGGGTCAGCGTAGATGGTGTTAAATCTGAGTGGGGCCGTGTAACCAGTGGGTTCCCCAGGGGTCAGTACTAGGCCCACTCTTGTTCATAATCTACATAAACGATCTAGATACTGGGATCAGCAGTGACATAAGCAAGTTTGCGGATGACACCATAATAGGGCGGCAAATTAATTCAGGGCAGGATGCAAATGCATTACAGAAGGATCTAAATATACTGCAGGGGTGGTCTGAAAAATGGCAAATGAAATTTAACACCAGCAAGTGCAGCGTACTTAATATTGGAAGAACATATACTTATAATGTATACAGCCTTAACAACATCAACCTAGAGAAGTCGACTTGTGAAAGAGACCTAGGGGTACCTGTAAGCCCGGACCTACGGCCTAGAAAACAGTGTGTTAATGTTCGAAATAAGACAGAGTATTGGGTTTTATATCTAGAAGTGTAAGTAACAAGAGTGCAGAGGTCTTATTGCAACTATATCTTGCGCTAGTCAGACCGCACTTCGATTATGCGGTTCAGTTCTGGTGCCCCTATTATAGAATGGATATAAATTCACTTGAGTAGGTGCAGCGAAGAATGACATAAATGATTCCGGGACTTGGAAACCTTCCATATCAGGATAGGTTAAAGAAACTTAACTTGCATTCCCTAGAAAGACGAAGAGTGCGGGGAGATATGATAGAAGTATTTAAGTAGGTGAAAGGAATCGATAAAGGGGATATAGATAAAGTTCTTATAATATCCGAGCAGGATAGGACTCGGAGCAACGGATTCAAGTTGGATAAGTTTAGGTTTAGGAGGGAGATAGGAAGAAACTGGTTCACAAATAGGGTGGTGCGGGAACTCTGGAAAGTTTCAAAAGGAGGCTAGATAGATTCATGGATGATAGTGGTAGTAACTCTCGACAGGAGCTGCCATGCACAGGCCAACCAGCCTATTGCAGACTCCTTATGTTCTTAGGTGCAGCCCTGGATGCAGCACATTCGAGCTGTGGTGGTGACACTGTTACTGTTGGCTGTGAAGAATGGAGCTGTGGTGGTGACACTGTATCTGTTGGCTGTGAAGAATGGAGCTGTGGTGGTGACACTGTATCTGTTGGCTGTGCAGAATGGAGCTGTGGTGGTGACACTGTATCTATTGGCTGTGAAGAATGGAGCTGTGGTGGTGACACTGTATCTGTTGGCTGTGAAGAATGGAGCTGTGGTGGTGACACTGTATCTGTTGGCGCCCTTAGCATCTTTAGCGCCCTTAGCATTTGCTAACCTCGCGTAATGGAAGCGGCGGCCCTGGTTCCTGCCTCACCAGTCATTGTTCCTGCCGTGTCACATTCTAATTGTATGATAACCGATTACCACTTCATAATGACCAAAATTCAGATAACTTATAGTGAATGATATTCTATTTTATTGTTATATGTGAATTATTTGTGTATGGGAAATTATATTTTGTATTAATGATTTAGTGTGTGCACCATATTGTGAAACCAATAACCGAAAGTATGTTATTTAAAGAATGTGTAACTACTACAGTATATACATGTTTTCTGAATGTTACCGCATAATATGAATCTTGGGGAAGGGGTGTCATGGTCATAATGACATGGCTAGTCTGTCAAAACCTAATAATTCATATTACTCTCCACACCCACAAAACCTGTAAACCTTTTTGAGTCTCCCAGTTGAAACATTCGTCTCTAACCACTTCAGGAGATAGTCTTCCGTTATCTATGTCGCATTACCATAGAAACTCAAGTACTGTATACCTAAATTCCGCACAGGATGTTCATGCATTTGAATTGGTAAGAGAATACCCTTGCTTTGCGTCAACTTAGAGATGTCTGATTGCAGTTGAAGCATTCAAGATCCGTTGTGACTGATGTTGAAAGCTTCAATTGTATTTACTGTTAGTGTAATTGTCAATATAAGTCAGGGTAGAGTCGGCAGCGAGAGTGAGGTATCATTGGCGTCTGCCCTAGAGATGTTGACCGTGGCTGAAGTCACCCTCTTTTTACATATGAAAATCAGAGAATCTGATGTTCATGGTGTAATTGTTGTAAGGATGTTAATTATGAAATTAATTAACCTGAAGGGAACTGTCAGACCAAGTATCTTTCAGAATCTACTGGGTGTAATCGACAGCTCAGGCAGAGCTGTTGGGTGAGTGGAACTCGAAGCTGATCGAGGGAGGAGTAGTGCGGGGCACTGACGCTCTCAGGCATCAGTCCAGCGTCTGAAACTCCTCCACGCACAGGTAATGTCCAGCTCCGTGTTATAGTTTGAATATGCAAGTGATACAGTAACGTAACTGACGTGTATTAAGTGAAGTAATCTCACGCCATTAGCGTCCTTTTGAAACGTTGACGTTCATGTCGACAAACTCGGCCCAGTGTCTGAAACTCCTCCACCCACAGGTTCCTCTTGGCCAAGAGCCTTGTAGATTGGGACGACCTCCACACTAATTTGGGAGATGGATGAAGGCCAGTGAACTCGGGTAAATTCGTGAACACGAGCGTCAGGAACTAACCACCTCCTCTGGGATCCAGTCAACTGGTCAGCCGTTCAATGTCCAGTTTGTTGATATCACAGGCAGAGCAAACAGTGCCAGCCCCCTTCATTGTTATGGGTGAGTCCACTACTCAGTAGGGGTATATGGTGGCTGTGTTATTCCTCTGAATACACCTGTATGTATTCACCTGAATTGTCTGAGTGTTTGGAGTCAGCAAGAGTAGGTTGACCATCAGTTTGTGCGTGGGCAAAGGTACCATAGTGGTGAAGAGAAGCTACTAATTCTGGTGATGTTAAAGTATTAGTGTTGGTGCTGTAACTGGCATCATTGCCACTTGTAATAGTGCTCAAAGGTGCTATGTAAGAGTATTGTGTGTGTTCTTGTACATGTAAGTGGAAAATGTACCTAAGTTTAACAGTACCAAATAAGTAAAGCCAGGGAGTTGACCCCCATCATTCTCTCCCATTGCTTGATATCAGAATTACAGTGTACCCATGTCATAACCCCCGAGCCACAATACCAAAGATCAAGAGGTTATGGAGTAATTATATGAAATGAAATAACTAGACAAAACTAATGGAGAAAATAAATGAAGTAAGAAATTAAGAGGAAACCAGGTTGAGTTTAAAAGTTATCTTATAAATGGTTTCAGCGACTGGATTGTAATTTAAAATGGTACCCAGTTGGGAGGAAGGAATGAGCTAATGTAGGTGTTTTTAACTGATTTGTAGTAACCATTTCTCTGTGCTGGTATCTAATAAACATTTAACGGTAACTGAGTATTTCAGATTGCTAATAATTTTGTTCCATATTCTTCCAAGGTACAGTACATTGCACAGTATATGTAATTCTGTACTAATTAATTAGGGACATAATTATTTCAGTAGGTTATGTGTGTGTGTTTATGTGCTGCCTTTATTGATATATACATTATATATTCTGTTACTTCTTACCAAAGTTAGAATGTGTTTAGGCCTGTGTAATCACGAATGTGTTAGGCACATGGTACATAACAATAAACGACTGGAGTAAGACTTGGCATGTGGCTTCTCATTCTCCCATTAAATCGTGTAAGATGGCGACGAGGATGGGATTCACAGTGTTGAAGTCCTTGAAGAGAGGATAGTGACCACTGAAGGGAAGGCCTGCGTCAGTGGATACATTGGAAGAGTGGGGGAGTATGATGCAAACAAGGAGAACTTCACATCATATTGTGAGAAAATGGACTACTACTTCCTGGGCCAATGAGTTAATGGCCCTTGAAATGAAAAGGAAAGCAATCTTTTTGACAGAGGTAGGAGCTAATGTTTATTCTACTCTGCTCCACACAAACCAAAAGACTCCTCACCGATTCAGATTGCCAAGATTCTGATGCAACATTTTGATCCTGCTCCACTTGAGATTGCTGAAAGTTACAAATTTGGCACAAGAGATAGAGGGAAAGATAAATCGGTGATTATATAGTAGCTTTGAAGAAGTTATCCATTCACTAACTTTGGACAGTTCTTGAACAGAGCTCTTAAGAGACAGGTTTTTGATAGGTCTGAATTATAAAAAAATGCAAAATAAGTGAATGAGCACCACAAAATTAACTTTTGAAAAAGCATGTCATTAGCAGAGAAAAACACCAGAGAACTTGTTCCCAGTGCCGGTTGTGAAACAGTTGGCAGTAGTGGATCGGTGTGTAAAGTAACTGTGGCTACAAAGGAAGAATTATGCCAGAGAACAAGGAACACATGCTAATTTAAAATGTAAAACATGCCTAGGCAAACATGAAAGCTTTCAGTGTAAGTTCAAAAATTCAAGATGTTAAAATTGTCAGCGTATTGGACATATTGCTCCTGCCTGTGAGAAAGAAATTACAGCCCCTGCCAGAAGTGATAAAGGTAGATTATATGTCGTCGAAGGTGATGAGAAGGAAATGAAAAACGGTATTCATGAGTGTTAAAGTTTTGAACCTGATAATGATGTGTCCATGAAGAGAAAGTTAAACATAGGTATAATGTGAACTAACGCATTAATGGCACAATTGTAACCATGGAAGTGGATACTGCAGCTGATTTCTCCATAATGAGTAGAGAAGCTATTTGTGCATGTGCCTTTAGAAGACTCGGGTATCAAGTTGAGAACCTATACTGGAGAGATTTTGAGCGAAGAAGGTAAATTAGAGTGTGAGGTAAAGTACAAAAATCTGAATTTAAAGTTGTCATTAATTATAGCTAGTTACGTGAATAGACCAACTATGTTAGATAAGAACCGGTTGTGTGAACTTGTGATGGACTGGAAGGAGATATTTAGTGTTAATGTGTAACTGTTGCAGGTCTTGAAAAATTGCAGATGAAGCATTCAAGATCCGTTGTGACTGATGTTGAAAGCTTCAATTGTATTTACTGTTAGCTTAATTGTCAATATAAGTCAGGGTAGAGTCGGCAGTGAGTATCATTGACGTCGGCCCTAGAGATGCCAGTGATTGTTCACCGAGGCTGAAGTCACCTCTTTTTCATGGTGAAATTGTTGTAAGGATGTTAATTACGAAAGTAATTAATTAACCTGAAGGAAACCGTCAGACCAGGGGCCGGATACTCAAAATAAACTCATAAGTTACGTATATTAGCGAGATACAGTACCATATATTGCAGACTCCTTAGTATAGAAGGGTTATGCCTGTGAAAAACAAAAATTACGGCCTTAAGGTTTTGCCTGGCTCTTAGGGGTAAAATACTGAAAAATGCACGTGTTAAAATCTCTATTCATTTAAAATTGAAAATTTTTTTTCATTATTCAAGTAAATAAGGGTGTTAAAAACATTTAAAAGACATCCTCTTGCCTCAAAGTGTCACATACTCGCATTTGAAACTGATTTCTGGTAGGAACAGCAGCCGTAATTGAAATTTTATCTAAAATTAATTCCCAAAGCATGATTTTGCAGGAAACTTACGGCTTAGGTAAATGACTTTCAGAGAGGCACATTTTCCTGAAAACTATGAGGAAAGTTTCCCAGATAACCGAGAAACTTCTGGAGATGGGGGATATATTTCCGGGTTCGAGAGATGATGTAATGGGCAATTGCAGGAACTACCGAGAAATTTTTTCCATTACCATAAACATTCTGGGGATGAGGGATATTTTCTTGATTTGTGATAACTGTCTCGTTAACGGGAAAACACTCATTCATTCACGGTAGTGCTCTTCACCAATTGTTCCGGCTAACAGAGATCTCACAGTATTTGGTGTTTTACCCCACTAGAATTTAGGTAAATAATCCCTTGCATAATGTTGGCCTGTGACAAGACACATAAACTATACTAAGATAGCCTTATTCTGGGCAAATTCAAATAAATTGGTTAATGATAGTATAGCCTTGCCTAACCTAAATGACAAATCACTTCTCTTAAATTACTCATTTAGCCTAGACCCTGGTGTTTTCCTTTCAATGTTGGGAACATTTGGTCTGAATTGTCTTCAAGTTCATACAAAAAACAACAATTTAAAACCTGAAAATATATCGGATTAGCCGTAAATTTTCTTAAATTAATACTCTACCTATGATAACGTTCAAGGAAAGTCTGGAACTAGGCCTAAGGTAGCTGCTAGACAAAGTGTCTCACTGACGGCCTGACGCTCACCAAAAAAACATGTACACATTCTCTAACCTAACATACCATAACATAACATAACCAAACCAAACCTATCTAACCTATACCCTATTAGTATAATTTCTTATTTAAATAATCCTCATGTTCTAACTAAATTAAGTAGGCCCCATGTTTAAACATTTATTTGCCTAAGACTGAAAAAGCAGTTATATAGGCACCTATTAATCAAGTTAATTGCAATCCATATTTTACACCTAATATCATTTAATTTTCGCTAGCCTATGGAAATTTATAGCCTTTCATGTTATCATAAGCCTTACACATAAGAAAATAGGCTAAGGCTATTGGTTGAATATTAGAAAAACAATGTGTAAGAAGACAAAAGATGCGTCTCTTCCAAACTGAGACAAACACAAACACTCAAGCCGCTTATTATACAACAAAAAAGTTACGAAAAAGACAAAAGTGAAATATTATATTTCAGTATGTTGATGTACAAAACATTTTCTTCTTTATTCTATGATAAAACAAGTCTAACAAGCATTATTACAACATATATTATTATTATTTTCTATACAATCGGGAATTAGTCACTACTACATCCGGGTTGAGTGTGTTACACAACCTCGGGAGCTGGTGTAAGTTACTTGCGGTAACTTATGGAGTTCGATGTCAAATATTGGTTTTGAGTATACCGATCTGAGACTAAGTCCATACAGTCCCATAAATGTTTTTGAGTATCCGGCACGGGGACTAGGAAGTAAGTCCAAACAACTTCCACCGGCCCGGGAATCGAACCCGTGACATCTAACTTCCGGGACAAGAACGGTACCGCTTCTACCACCGGACCCCCCCATTGTAACCTCTACTCTGTAATCCTTTTGCGCTACCGCGGGAAAATAAAAATCAATCCTTACATTCCCGTAAACTTAGCATACTCAAAATTTGTTCCGTAAGCAGTTAATAAGTTATTGTAACTCTTGTGTTTACCCTATAAATTAAGTTCTCTTATTGGATGGTAGATGGCCAATCAGCGCTCAGTTAACAAAATCATCAACCAATCACAAGAGGAGGAGAAATCAGCTGAGAGCAACGCAAACAAGAAACGACCAAATTTCAGTGAGACGGAAGTATACGCCATAGTGTGTGAAGTCGTCAAAAGAAAGAAAATAATTTTAGTGAAGTTGGACTCGAGATGTACAATCAAATATAAGAATCATGTCTGATAAGAAGTAGTAAAAGCAGTGAATGTTGTTGCTCGTATCCCCCGCAATGTTGATGAAGTCAGGTGGAAGTTTTCCGAGTTACGTGTAAGCGTGAAGAAAAGCAGCACAAGATAAGAAATATACTGGTGGAACAGGTAAGTCATAATATTGTTAGCGTAGGTATTGATTGACACTGAAACAAACTTTACTGTTTTTTCTGAGGCTTGCTACGATTTAAGGTGGTTGTAAACTCAAGGAAGTTGAGTATGGTGGCTCTACATCGTGAATTAATACAAATATTTTAATTATATGAGCACATTCATTAAAAGAAACATCATTCTTCGAAGTTTGCCGTGTGAGTAATTAGTAAAAACTGTACCGCAAATGACGTGGAACAAAGATAATAAATATTCTTTTGGGTGGTCCAAGGTGGCGGAGGCCACCCGTTGGTAAGGAAGTTAGGTTAGGTAGGTTTGGTTACTGTTATAAACTACATATTAATAATTACGTTATTCCCGACGGTAATGAAGGTCATAATGTGTAGTTTACCATATAATTCCTCATGTTTTATTTTGTCATTTATTTTTATTCATCAATTGATTTAAATTCATACTTGGTATAGATTAATATGTAAATCTTACTTTGTCAGGCTTATAGGCAATTATGTTTACAACTAATACAGGTTGATAAATTTCTGGCTGCTATTATTATTTTTGACATAGATAGAGGAGAATTTTTGGGGCTACAGCTACAATGATAGGTTAGGTTATAATGTTTGGAACTATTTCAATAGATTCCTTTCTAACTGTATGAATCCTGCCAAATAAGTAAGACAGTTTTTATTTATATTTTTCTCTTGAAGGTGGCTGCCCCAAATTGAAAATACAATTGAAGAAGCAGTTCTTCAACTCTTAGATCCAGCCTCTATACATGGTAATTCACTAAGTTAGATATTGGCTTAGGTAATGACTTTCAGAGGGGAACATTTTCCGGAAAATTATGAGAAAAGATTCCCAGATAACAGATAAAATTCCGGAGATGGGGGATATTTCTCTGGGTTCGAGAGTTGATCTAATTGGCAATTTCAGGAACTAACGAAATCATTTTTCTATTACCATAAACATTTTGGGGATGAGGAATTTTTTCTGGTTAATCGTCTTGTTACCCAGAAAACTCTCATTCACGTAAGTGCTCACAGTATTTGGTGTTTTACCCTTAATAGAATTTGCGTTAACCCCTGGCTTAATGTTGCCCTGTGACAAGACACACAAGCTAGACTAAGATAACCTTATTCTGGGCCACTTCAAATAAATTTGTTATTGATAGCATAGCCTTGCCTAACCTAAATGACAAATCATTTCTCTTAAATTACAGATTTAGCCTAGATCATGGTGTTTTCCCTTCGATGTCTGGGTAATTTGGTTCATAAAAAAAACAAAACAAAATTAAATCCTGAAACTATATCGAGAATTAATACTCACTGACAGCCTGACACTCACCAATATTGCCATGTACACACTTTCTCTAACATAACATAACAACATAACATAACATAACATAATCTAACCTATGTAATTATTCTTCATGTTCTAACTAATTTAACTTGGCCCCAAGTTTAAACATTTATTTGGCTAAAACTGAAAAAGCTTAATCAAGTTAATTGCAATCCATATTTTACACCTAATATCATTGAATTTGGCGAACAATACAAACCTTCTGTTTTTGTAAAAAATACTTGAAAAGTTTGTAAAAAAAAAAATGCAACAAATACAAACACTCAAGCCTCTTATATTTGTTTTTAGTATGCCATCTGTGTTTACCGATCTGAGACTGTAAGTCCAGTTATGGGGTATCTTTGAAAATCTAATGGGTGATATCGGATACTACTTGTATTAGGCTCCACCCACCAGGGACTGCCATACTGTAGTTGAGTGTTACTGAAATTATTCAATAAATGTAACTTCATTTTAATAAACCATTTTATAATTTTAATAAACTATTTTATTTGTATGTTAGGAGTATCATTTACCTGCTGTATTTTGCCATCATTCTTTCCCATTGCTTGATCCCAGAATTACAATGTACCCATGTGTCATAACCCTCGAGCCACGCTACCAAAGATCAGAGGTTATGGAGTAATTATATGAAATGAAATAACTAGACAAGTAAGAAATTAAGAGGAAACCAGCTTGAAGAGTTTAAAAGTAATCTACCATGGTATCCAGTTGGGAGGAATGAATGATTTGTAATAACCATTTCTCTGTACGGGTATCTGGTACAGTCGGCCCTTAACATACGCGGGTTTAGCATACACGGCACCGAACACGGCACACCGCCCGCTCCCGCAGCCTCACACACACATGCATAGTTCTCCCTCACTCAGTCAGTCTCGCCGTAACCACGCTTGTGTTGACATCAGCATTGTAGTTGCAAGAATATTACATTTCCATGAATGTATTATATCAAGCACAGTATGAATAGAATATCACTAATATAACCGTATTTTAACCGAAAACTATTAAAAAAACGAGTACATATCTTGAACATCGGAAGGTTAAATATAGTCTTTTGTGATTTATCCTGTGAGTTTTTACATCCACTGAATCTTCATTTAAAATTTATAGTGATGTTTAATGTCTTGTTCACCTTGGCAGAGTATTAAAATTTGAATTTAAAGTTGCCATTAATTATAGTTAGTTATGTGAATAGACCAACTTTGTTAGGTAAGAACTGGTTGTGTGAACTTGAGATGAACTGGAAGGAGTTATTTAGTGTTAGAATGTGTAACAGTGTTCCATGTCTTGAAAAATACAAGATTTTATTTGTTAAGGGTATAAAGGGTTATGAAGCTTATATCACCATTGACAAAGATGTTGCACCCATGGAGTGGTCCCTCAGTTAACGAGCACAATCCGTTCCAGCAGGTTGCTCGTTAACCGAAACCATTGTTTCAACAAAAAAGGTAGAAAAGTTCACTTACTTTGATGTGTGTATGTAGAAGGCTCCTGGATGATGATGATGATGTGAATCTGAAGTGGGAGGTGGAGGTGGAGAAGGGAAAAGAGAAGGAAGTGGAGGTGGAGGAGAAGCATTTTACTGCTTCTTGGAAGGTGAGTCACCTTCCATGAAAATGTCATGAACCTCTGGACTGACAGATTCTCCACCATGAACATCCTGAGGGATAGCATATTGTTCCCTCTGCATTTTACTGAAGAAAGTGTCAATTGTGGTTTGGGTGCCTCTACCTGTAACATCTCATCCAGTTGCTTCAGGTCATCAGGAGTAAGTTCCTCCTCATGAGACATCACAAGCTCTTCCACATCCTCCTCCTCGACTTCAAGGCCCAATGACTGACCAATGGACACAATCTCCTGGTCCAACTCTGTTTCTTCCTCAAATTGAGGGATCTAGTGGAGAATTCTTGCCATGATGACACAATCAATTTTGCAGCCTCCAGAATGTTGAATTGTGTCTTCCAGAAATGTTTCAGTGTTAGTTCAGGATCATTGGAAGTTGCTTGATGACACCTCCTAAACATTTTCTTCATGTACAACTTCTTGAAGTTGCTGATCACTTTCTGGTCCATTGGCTGTATGATTGATGTAGTGTTTGACACTTTCACAAAGTCAAATTGATACTCCAAAATTCTGGCAAGGTCAGGTTCATGACCAGGAGCTTTATCCATGAGGAGAAGAGCCTTTAAATGGAGTTTATTGGTGGTTAGGTAGCTCTTGACAGAAGGGCAAAACACATCAACAGCCCATTCATTAAAGAGATATCTTGTCACCCATGCCTTACGGTTGGACTTCCAATAAACTCCAAGCTTTGTTCTTACGGTAAAGAGGCTTCATCTCTGGTGATGAATGTTCTTTAGGGCATCTTTTTCCAGAAAAGCCCAGTTTCGTCCACATTGAACACTTGCTGTGAAAGATAATTTTCTTCTTCAATCAGTTCTTTAAATTCATCTAAAAACTTTGCTGCCCCTTCCTTATCAGCACTAGCAGCTTCACCATGCCTAACAACACTGAAAATGTCACTTCTTTTCTTAAATTTTTCGAACCAGCCTTTGCAGGCCCGAAAATCTGTTTTTAAATGTTCGTAAATCTCCCTGGCTCTTTCACAAATGAATTCAGTAGAAACTGAATCACCTTTCATCTGTTTTTCCCTAATCCAGATGATAAGTAACCTCTCAGTTTCTGCAATTAGGGATCTACTTTTAAACACTCTTGTAGATTTGTCTCTCACTTTCACTTCTTTAAATATGTTGATGTCGACATGCCGCATTTGTTCTTATGCCTTGTTCATGTTTTTTTATGATTTACTGCTTGGTTTGGATTGAAATCGTTGTATTGGATGTACAATGCAGCTTGGTGCTGGGGAAGACAGCATGGTTACAAGCGTGATGTAGAGAGAGCTGGTTGGTGAGGATGCTCAGAGAAGGACAGCTTGTGGGTCGCCATGCTCGCCAGTGGGAGAGAGGACCGCCAGGCAGGCGGAGGAGGAGGTGTTGCTGGCTGCGGCTGTAGGTAGCAAGAGAGAGATCACCACGAGGTCAGGTCTTAAATAGCGGGGGTAGGCGTGGCATAGCAGTTGACCCCCGCTCCGTGGTGTATGGCGGCGCTGGTTGACCTAGACCACGAGGCATACACTGGGGAATTGGTGGGGTCAGCTAGGCTGCGACAAACAGCGGTTGTAGGGGAGAATTCCACTACACCTGCTTTTTAAAGTTAAACTTGTTGTAAATAAAGAATATTTTCTTTAAAATAACACTGCACTGTGCTATATATTGTCAATATGTAAAATAAATTTCAAAATGACCAATAATTTGCTTGGAAACACGGAAAAAAGCGTTTAGTTGAAGAGAGTCTCAAGCAAGATGTTACCTCCAGTGAAAACAGAGAGAGACTAACGCCTGTTTGCTGTGTTAAGAGGCAGGATGCTGCGCATTAAACTCGTCACTTTACCTTCAATAATTGTTCAAATTACTAAAAAATTTAGTATTAAACTTTTAAAATTATTGAATAGTATAAACTTGATATTTACTAAAATAGTAAGGAATTTAAGGGTGGTGCATTATTTGGCTGCCAAATCTTTTCAGTGCTTGATGGTGGAGGACACTGAGGGATGGCATTTCCAGGGTGGAGAGAGTATTGATGTAGCCTGAGTATTCTGAAGATCAATTTAACCGAAGCCAATCTACGTGTTACAATGTGTTGGCGAATCTTTCTTTTTCAGATCATGGGACAACAGACCACGAGTGAAGCTTCTCACAATACACAACGGTGTTCCTTCAGGTCAATTTTAACGTTTTGTGTGATGGTGTGGGTGTGCGTAGCTTGCTATGGTGTCATTTAATCTTTGGTGAGAGTGTAGCTGGGTGTGGCTTGTTGTGGGGTCATATAACGTTTTGCGAGAGGGTGCATGTGGGAGGGAATGTCTAGTCAGCTTTAATAAACCTTGTGTATAGTGCATGAAGCAGTGTAGTACAGTACAGTACAGTATAGTGTAAACTAATGTGGAGGTAATGATTTAGGTAAACAGTTGGGGACAGTTTAAGTACATGTGATCTATTTGCAAGTTAATTTTCATTGTACGTAAATTACAACTTCAAACACGTTGCAGGTAACAGCTGATGTACGTGAAGGCCAATGGAGAAGTGACAGAACCTCGAGCAAGATTTAACTACCAGCATGTTACTTCAGCCTCATCAGTTAAGTTACTTGTACAGTATATCTTAGCTAATATCTTTATCCAATAAACCACTCGACAATGCTCCTACACTGGGCAGTGGAGGGTGTGTGTGTATCTTGGCTATTATGGTCATCCCATAAACTACTCAACACCGTGCTTCTACACTCGGCAGTGGAGGGTGTGTGGGGGGCCTGGCTGACAGTGTGAAGGAGGGCTCGTGAGTACTTAGTGGACAGATTGGTCTTCGAGTAAATTTAATATTAGTTGTAGTGACAGTATAAATATACAGGAGTAGTATATATAGGATATAGTAGTGGTAGTAGTAATAGTATAGTAGTAAATACAGCAAGTAAAGCAAGTTGTTGTGGGTGGGTTTCAACTAACTTTACTAACCTAACTTAACCAGCCTAAGTTAATTAAACATAATAACGTAGAGTGAACCAAATCCGTAATAAGGTCACCGCTTGAACTCCTCTCATATTTGCTTCATTATCGTAAGATTGACCTCCACAATCCTCAAAAGAAATGTTCAGTTGTTTGTCTTCCGAGTAGAAGTCATGACAAATTTAGCCCTGTAGACTTCTCTACCTCAAGGAACCCTAAGAAATGCTCCTTTATTGATGACTTGTCTTCAAGAAAGTTGCTCAAATCAGGGGTATTTCGATGCTTTGATATCGTCCACGATTCTTTCAGTAATTTTTGCACTGATAATGTTAATCAGTTCATTTTGGATCATTTTGGACCATTGGATTGACAGTTAAATTTTTCAGCTGACCCTCTAGAGCCAAATTGATTTCAGCTAGAGACTGAATAATCGCCATTAGTCTAGTGAGGACTTGGCGCCACCTGTTCCACTCAGCCATTAACATTTCCATTTCCCGTCTGTCTATCGTCCTTCCACTTGCAATGTTGACCTCCAGTTCCTTCTATGTTGTCATGTTTTTTAGTGTGTTCTATGTTACTTTCATGTGTGCTGAGCAAATGACTAGTTCTCAGTTGGAGTCAATTTGTTACCATTGAATTTATTGAGATAACACAAGTTTGGTGTTAAATTTTTCAGTGTTGTATTTTTCAACCTGTTTTTTTTTTAACGGAGAATTTTATTACATAGCGCCTTACCATTTCTTACAGTGTAGACTGATATGCATTGTTGGTAAAGAGGTTATATGTATTTGAGAACTAATTCCGGTGTATTTTCAGCCATAGTATTGAGTGGGTTGAGGACTCTGTGGTGAAATGGACATCTAAGACATACAATCTCTGAAAATGAATTGCTGGAAGCACCCTCTGTACATGTAAGGACCACCAATTGTGAGTAAAGCACAGAGTAAATTGTGTAGTGTTAACACAGTGTCAAGATAATTGAAAAAGACAGTGAATTCTTGTGAGTACAGAAAATCCGCTTTGTGTTAATCATCCGTGAAAGCTACAGAGTTATATTTTCTTGAGACATTCTCGTCAAGTATCATCAAGTATTTTATTTTGAGCATTGCTATGAGTACTTTGTGAATTGAAAGTTTGTATTGTCCTCTTTAGAGATACTTAATTTTCTGAGTGAGTCACCGATACTACTGCCGATTATTTATTTTGGTGAGTATCCATTTAAGAAGTATCCGAGGCATTTATGTGTCAATGTTTACCCCCTTTGCTCTGGAAGGGTGTTAATTGAATTTATCTTTGGTGGGGTTGTTTTGTAGAAGATTTGTTGTGACATCAGCGCACGATGATCACAGTAGTTGTGAATAAGTTACAACTTATGTGTGAATTCCGAGAACTTGCCAAAGCCATGGAGGCCAGCATTCATCGGCGGGGAACGCCGAAGGCTCGGAGGGGTAGTGAGAAAATCAAGTTTAGAGATTTTCTATCGGGATCAGAACCAGAGGAAAGAGAAAGGTTGGCCAGTCCCGGGAACCCAGGGGGAGCTCCTTCGGCTAGGAAACCAAATAAGTAAGACAGTTTTTATTTATATTTTTCTCTTGAAGGTGGCGGCCCCAAATTGAAAATACATACACTGCAATTGAAGAAGCAGTTCTTCAACTCTTAGATCCAGCCTCTATACATGGGATTCCAGGGATTTTGGAAAGTGAAGAACTTATTGATGGTAATTCACTCAACATACTTTTCCAACCCTCTGGCTTATGCTTCCCTAAGTTAGATATTGGCTTAGGTAATGACTTTCAGAGGGGAACCTTTTCTGGAAAATTATTAGAAAAGATTCCCAGATAACAGATAAAAATCCGGAGATGGGGGATATTTCTCTGGGTTCGAGAGTTGATCTAATTGGCAATTTCAGGAGCTACCGAAAACATTTTTCTATTACCATAAACATTCTGGGGATGAGGAATTTTTTCTGGATAATCGTCTTGTTACCCAGAAAACTCTCATTCACGTAAGTGCTCACAGTATTTGGTGTTTTGCCCCCAATAGAATTTGCGTTAACCCCTGGCCTAATGTTGCCCTGTGACAAGACACACAAGCTAGACTAAGATAACCTTATTCTGGGTCACTTCAAATAAATTTGTTATTGATGGCATAGCCTTGCCTAACCTAAATGACAAATAATTTCTCTTAAATTACTGATTTAGCCTAGATCATGGTGTTTTCCTTTCGATGTCTGGGTAATTGGGTTCATAAAAAAACAAAAAAAAATTAAATCCTGAAACTATATCACATTAGCCTTAAAGTTTCTAGAATTAATACTCACTGACGGCCTGACACTCACCAATATTGCCATGTACTGTACACACTTTCTCTAACATAACATAACATAATCTAACCTATGTAATTATTCTTCATGTTCTAACTAATTTAACTTGGCCCCAAGTTTAAACATTTATTTGGCTAAGACTGAAAAAGCTTAATCAAGTTAATTGCAATCCATATTTTACACCTAATATCATTGAATTTGGGCTAGCCTATGGACATGTCATGTTATCATAAGCCATATATGTAAGAAAATAGGCGAAGGCTATTGGTTGAATATTAAAAAAACAAGGCGAACAATACAAACCTTCTGTTTTGGTAAAAAATACTTGAAAAGTTTGTAAGAAAATAAACTGCGACAAATACAAACACTCAAGCCTCTTATATTTGTTTTGAGTATACCATCTGTGTTTACTGATCTGAGACTGTAAGTCCAGTTACGGGGTATAATCGGATACTACTTGTCTTAGGCTCCACCCACCAGGGACTGCCATACTATAGTTGAGTGTTACTGAAATTATTCAATAAATGTAACTTCATTTTAATAAACCATTTTATAATTTTAATAAACTATTTTATTTGTATGGTAGGAGTATCATTTACCTGCTGTATTTTGCCATCATTCTTTCCCATTGCTTGATACCAGAATTACAATGTACCCATGTGTCATAACCCTCGAGCCACGCTACCAAAGATCAGAGGTTATGGAGTAATTATATGAAATGAAATAACTAGACAAGTAAGAAATTAAGAGGAAACCAGCTTGAAGAGTTTAAAAGTTATCTACCATGGTATCCAGTTGGGAGGAATGAATGATCTACTGTCGGTGTTTTTAAATGATTTGTAATAACCATTTCTCTGTACAGGTATCTGATACAGTCGGCCCTTAACATACGCGGGTTTAGCATACACGGATTTGCAAATATGCGGATTGTCCCGTCGGAGGAATATTCTGTACATTGAAGTAATTGAAGTAGGCTACATTCAAATCGCGCCTGCTCCCGCAGCCTCACACACACATGCATAGCTCTCCCTCACTCAGTCAGTCTCGCTGTAACCACGCTTGTGTTGACATCAGCATTGTAGTTGCAAGAATATTACATTTCCATGAATGTATTATATCAAGAACAGTATGAATAGAATATCACTAATATAACCGTATTTTAACCGAAAACTATTAAAAAACAAGTACATATCCTGAACATCGGAAGGTTAAATATAGTCTTTTGTTTTCATGTAATTTATTCTAATTTACATTGAAATGCATTACGTTTCAGCAAAACTACTATTTATTACTGAGAATATGGAAATGTAATATTTTTGCTGAAATGATGTACGTATTACAGTGGAAAGTGACGAAAGCAATGACTTTCGCTTTGTTTCATTCAAAAGATATTACCGTAATCGCTTTTTGAATGGTTTTCCATCCTAATTCACTTGTGATGCAACAGTTTTATTTAACTGAAAACCATTCGAAAAGCGATTACGGTAACATCTTTTGAACGAAAGAAAGCGAAAGTCATTGTTTTCGTCACGATTTTATTGCACTTTCCACTGTAATACCTACGTCATTTCAGCAAAAATATTACATTTCCGTGAATGTATGAAAAGAATATCATTGTAATATAACAGGATTTTAACCGAAAACTATTAAAAAAACGAGTAACATCTCTTGAACATCGGAAGGTTAGGTAAAGTCTTTTGTTTTCGTCATGTATTTTATCCTATTTTACATTGAAATACATCACGTTTCAGCTAAACTACTATTTATTTCTGAGAATATATTCATTCCGGTGCAGTTTAGGTAAAATATACAGGTGATGTAAAAAATTTTTAACTGAAAACGATTCGAAAAAGACTGGGAGGAGCTGTTTGGTGCTTAAGACGATGACAAGGAAAATGATTTTGATGGATTTTAATGAAAATATTGAGAAATATGGTATCGTAGTATTTATTCAAGTGAATTAGGATAGAATATTATTGTAATACAACAGTAGTGACGATGTGGATGAGGCGGAGGGATGGAGTGGTGACTGGTGGAAGCAGGGACGAGTGGAGATGCCAGCCAGTACATTAGGGGTGTACAGTATTAATTGTTTTTATAGCACCATTACTCGGAACGTATCTTAACGAGGTCCCGCTGCATTAGAGTAATACTGTATTTCCAATTGGCCTCTCATGAGCTGTTGTAACCCTTAAACAGATGAGATGGAGCATTAGTGGGGACCTTGTATTTGCTAGGAATTAATATCACTTTTGATATTATATCCCAACTCAGAGGGGAACACAATATACACAATTGTTTGTTAAATTTGCACTTAGTATTTTATCTTGCTAGAGCTGCTCAGTGGGGCTTCATGCACACAATACTTGGTCTGTGTGGCAACTTGCCCACCTTCTCTACTGCTATATGTATTTGAGAATTATCGGTAATGCATGTGAATTTTCAGCTGTGGTATTGATTGGGTGGAGGACTGCGGTGAATGCACATAAGAATTGTGAGGAGAACTTACCAAAGCCATGGAGGCTCTGAGATGTAGGGAGAAGATCATGTCGGAACTGAAACTACATGAAATAGGATTGGATGTTTGTAGGTAAAACCAAATTTGATGTATGACAATTAACAAATCAACCAACCCATCCCCTTCACCACCCTCCCCACCACCAACCAACCCACCCCTCCCCACCACCAAACCACCCCCCCTCCCACCCACTCCTACCACAATCACCACCACCACCCTCACCACCACCAACCCACCCCCCATCCCACCCCCACCAACCACTGTACTTGCGATTGGCCCCTCGTGAGCTGTTGTAACCATCCTGGTGTCGATATCATTGTTGCACTTAGTGGGGCTTCATGCCACAAAACAAGATGCTTAGGCAAACAGTATTCATGAGTGTTTGTAGTTTTGAACCTGAAAATAATAAGAGTATAATGTGGACTTGTGCATTAATAACACAACTGTAACCATGAGAAGCTACTTGCGCATTATTCAGGTGTCAAGTTGAGAACCTATACTGGAGGTAAATTAGAGTGTGAGGTAAAGTATTAAAATTTGAATTTAAAGTTGCCATTAATTATAGTTAGTTATGTGAATACACCAACTTTGTTAGGTAAGAACTGGTTGTGTGAACTTGAGATGGACTGGAAGGAGTTATTTAGTGTTAGAATGTGTAACAGTGTTCCAGGTCTTGAAAAATACAAGATTTTATTTGTTAAGGGTATAAAGGGTTATGAAGCTTATATCACCATTGACAAAGATGTTGCACCCATACAGTGGTCCCTCAGTTAACGAGCACAATCCGTTCCAGCAGATTGCTCGTTAACCGAAACCAATGTTTCAACAAAAAAGGTAGAAAAGTTCACTTACTTTGAGGTGTGTATGTAGAAGGCTCCTGGATGATGATGATGATGATGATGATGTGAATTTGAAGTGGGAGGTGAAGGAGGAGAAGGGAAAAGAGAAGGAAGTGGAGGTGGAGGAGAAGCATTTTACTGCTTCTTGGAAGGTGAGTCACCTTCCATGAAAATGTCATGAACCTCTGGACTGACAGATTCTCCACCATGAACATCCTGAGGGATAGCATATTGTTCCATCTGCATTTTACTGAAGAAAGTGTCAATTGTGGTCTGGGTGCCTCTACCTGTAACATCTCATCTAGTTGCTTCAGGTCATCAGGAGTAAGTTCCTCCTCATGAGACATCACAAGCTCTTCCACATCCTCCTCCTCCACTTCAAGGCCCAATGACTGACCAATGGACACAATCTCCTGGTCCAACTCTGTTTCTTCCTCAAATCCCTCAAAATCATGGAATACTGATGGCCACAGTGCTTTCCATGAAGAATTGAGGGATCTAGTGGAGACTTCTTGCCATGATGACAATCAATTTTACAGCCTCCAGGATGTTGAATTGTGTCTTCCAGAAATGTTTCAGTGTTAGTTCAGGATCATTGGAAGTTGCCTGATGACACCTCCTAAACATTTTCTTCATGTACAACTTCTTGAAGTTGCTGATCACTTTCTGGTCCATTGGCTGTATGATTGATGTAGTGTTTGGAGGCAAAAACAACACTTTCACAAAGTCAAATTGATACTCCAAATTTCTGGCAAGGTCAGGGTCATGACCAGGAGCATTATCCATGAGGAGAAGAGCCTTTAAATGGAGTTTATTGGTGGTTAGGTAGCTCTTGACAGAAGGGCAAAACACATCAACAGCCCATTCATTAAAGAGAGATCTTGTCACCCATGCCTTACGGTTGGACTTCCAATAAACTCCAAGCTTTGTTCTTACCACTTTCTGTTGCTTGAACACCCTGGGGTTTTCAGAGTGGTAGACAAGCATAGGCTTCAGTCGGAAATCCCCTGAAGCATTGGCAATAGAGTGAGACGGTAAAGAGGCCTCATCTCTGGTGATGAATGTTCTTTTGGGCATCTTTTTCCAGAACAGCCCAGTTTCGTCCACATTGAACACTTTGCTGCCCCTTCCTTATCAGCACTAGCAGCTTCACCATGCCTAACAACACTGAAAATGTCACTTCTTTTCTTAAATTTTTCGAACCAGCCTCTCAGTTTCTGCAATTAGGGAACTACTTTTAAACACTCTTGTAGATTTGTCTCTCACTTTCACTGTTTGCTGTGTTAAGAGGCTGGATGCTGCGCATTAAACTAGTCACTTTACCTTCAATAATTGTTCAAATTACTAAAAAATTTAATATTAAACTTTTAAAATTATTGAATAGTATAAACTTCTTGATATTTTCTAAAGTAGTAATGAATTTATGCTCTAGAACCGATTAATGTATTGGCGGACTAACACCACAGCTGGTTGACCGCCCAGTGCAAGCCAAAACTTGTTGAGGTCGGCTCATAAGAAACTCGTTAACCGAGGGGTTGCTCGTTAACCGAATTTAAGAATCTTATGGGAGGTAACTCGTTAACCGAAATTTCGTTGACCGAGGCACTCGTTCCTTATGCATTGAAAGGTGAGGTTGAGAAGGATTTAGACAGACTTGTGAGTGAGGGAATTATTGTGAAAACCACCAAGAGCAATTGGGCTGTGTGATGATTATAAAGTTACCATTAATCAAGTTGTTGAGGACGAGCAATATCCCTTACCCACATCTCAAGATTTGTTTGCTGCACTTACAGGTCGAACCAACTTCACCAAGTTAGATTTGTCCCAAGCATATGCTCAGGTCTGTGTTGATGCTGATAGTCAACAGTACCATACCATCAAGTTCAAAAGGTTGCATTATGGAGTTAAAAGTGCACCAAAGTTATTTCAGTGGCACCAAAAAAATGTCAGTGAATTGAAAGCTTTACTGGGTATGATACAGTATTATTCATCAGTTTTAGCCCCTCTGCATGAACTGTTAAAGAAATAGATTCCATGGAAATGGAACAGTGCAACTCAGAAGTCATTTGAAAATTTTAAAGCTGCTCTGTCTAGTACTGATGTTTTGGTTCACTATGATACCAGTGTAATGACCACGGTCATTAAGCCTCAGTCCTCCGTTATCCCATTTTCTCTGACTTACTGAAACCAACCTCTCTATAAAGTGAATTTGAATGTGAGAGA